TAGGGCTGTGTACATTGGATACTTTTTCTTCCATTCTTGTGATACTTTGCTAAGAAGAACATTTTCCAGTTCCATCCATGTATTTTTTTAGCCATTTATCCACTCTGTTTCTTTGGAGAGTTGAGTTTACATTTAATGTTATTATTGATAGGTAAGGATTTAACTTCATTTCTGGTTGCTTTGTGGTCCTCTCTTTCTTCATGTCTGTCTTCCTTTGTTAAAAGTCACTTTCTCTGGTAGTGTATTTTATAACTTCTTACTTTTTAATTTTTTTTTTGTACTTGCTGTAGGTTTTTTGATTTGAGGTTACCATGAGGTTTTAATATGTTTGTTCATCTAGTCTATCAATATTTTAAATTTAAAATTTTATGCTGATAAGCATTTAACTGTATGTGGTGTATTTTAAGATATTTATTGTATTTACTTATCTTTCTTCCTCTAATCTAGATACAATTGAAAAAGAAATAAGAAAAATCTTCAGTATTCCAGATGAAAAGGAGACCAGATTGTGGAACAAATACATGAGTAATACATTTGAACCTCTGAATAAGCCAGACAGCACCATTCAGGATGCTGGTTTATACCAAGGACAGGTATTACTTAGTATACTATTTATTTTAAACATACTATACATGAAGCTTTTTGGATTCACAAACTTTGGTTGATATCCTGACAGCATATAATGGATTCTGTCTCTGGATTCCTCTTTCTAAACTCATCTCTTTTCTATCCCAGCTGGTCACTAACTATAACTTTGATTCCCTCCCCAAGCTTGGGAATAATCTGCTTGTTCAAGAGAAAAGACTTTCTGGTTTTTGTTAAAAAGCTAATATATAATATAGATTAGCTGATCTGTAACAGAACGCATAATAAATATCCATCACTGCAGACCCCAGTTGTCTGTTGCAACTGTTACCCTGCCATTGTAGTAGCATGAAAGTAGCCATGGATGACACAGGGCAGATGGGTGTGGCTGTGATCTAACAAAGCTAGTTATTTACAGAAGAGGGCAGCAAGCCAGCTGGACCACGGTTTGCCAACCTTTATTAGATGGCATCAGCTCCCAGTTGTTTTTTGTTTTCTGGTTTTTTTATGGTATAATCCAAAGAGATTAAGGTGTTAAGAAATGAAGATGGTGAATCAGCAAATCATACTTATTCTCTTGTCTGAACACTTGTTGATTAATGTCTCTGTCCAATTCTTAGCCCTTAACTTTCATATTCTCTCAACAGACCCTTCTACCTCCATGCTCATGTGTCTGCTCAATCTTATTTGTGCCAGAATACTCATTCTAAAATGTAAACCTCACTATTTTCCTTTCATAAACCTATCCTGGCTCCATACCAATTGTAAAGTCCAGGCACTTGAACCCAGCATGCAAGTCATGGTGTAATCTGTTGCCTGTTCCTCTGGTGTCTCCTGTTGTCCTCTTGGTGGTGTCTACTCTAGGAATGCCAAGCTGCACTACTTACAGTTTCCTAACACACAGAACTGGGCTGCACTTCTGCGCTTTCCATTGTGTTATTCTGTCTGTGCGAGGTGTGCTTCTTCCCAGCCCTACATCCACCCAGCAAAAAGCCCTTTAAACCTTATAGATTTTCACAGTAGCTGTCCCATCCCATCATGTATTGTAGGGTGACAATATCAGATTATTCATCCTTCTATTCCAACTCAAATGTCACATTATTTCTTTAGCCTTCCCTATTTTTCTCAATATCCATTAAAATATAGGATGTTTCTACTTAGGAGGAAAATATGCTTCCTTAACTTCCATTATTTATGTATATATGGATTAGTTATTATATTTGTATATTAAGCTTCCCAGTTAGATTTTGAGGTCCTTGCTTTGGTTAGTTTGTGTTCCATTTATTTTTATTTTTAGTACCTAATACAATGTGTTGGTGCTCCAATATTGAGAACTTTTGGTTAGTTCTGTTTTATTTTAAAATTCCTATTGACATCAGTGATACTAAGTTGTGAAAAAATTCAGAGAAACTGAGAAAATTAATTTTATTAAATAGCTACTATAATTCAAAGCCTGATTGAAGCTAAAGTGAAGACCTTGAACTCCAATTAGCTAATGCTCCCTCCCTAGCTCCTTTTTCTGTCTTCTCGTGGACAGACTCCTTGTTCTTCTCTAGTTGCCATCCATCAGGCCTTGAGGTGGCTCCAGGTTATGTAGAATTATTTCTTTAAATCTCAACAGTGATCCTATGATATGATCCTTTCAGTCATCTACATTAGAAAGCTGAGGCTTAGAGAAGTTAAATAAGTTAATGTTCTTGACAGGTATGTATGTATTTATGGTTGCATAAGAGAATAAATTAGTTTAGCAGGATGAAACATGTGTAAGGACTTTTGATCTTTGAGAATAGGAATGTTTCAGAGAATATGTATTAAATACCAGTTCTTTTGTGACTGGTGATAAATGAACTAAACAGTATCCTGGACCTTTTTTTTAAACTAAAGTGAAAGTCTCCTCATTAGAAAGTGAAACTAAGGTGTACAGTGGAAGAGTATGCCTTCCAGAATTGGGAGTCTTTCCCTCTGTGAACTCTTGTGTGTGTGATTACATTTTGAAATCTTTGTAAAAATATTTTCATCCTGAGTTAACATTTTAACTATGAAGCAAAATTTTATTTAGAAAATTATGCATTTGAATAGTGAATTTTTAACATTTCTGATAGCTTTCAATATTAATATGTGTAATTCTAAAAACATGGAATTTTAAGTATAAATACTGTTAGGAATTAGGTATTATGGTTAAGTAATGATATTAAATGCCACATCAAAATTTTTTATATCTAGAATCTCTTATAACTAATTTGTCTTCCTAATGATTATAATATATGTGTGTATTTTACATGTAGTTTATGTGTGAGTTATTGCTATAGCTATGAATTACAGTAAAGGAAAATATTCTTCAGAAGTTAAAAATCAGACACTCAGTTCTGCTTTATATATCTTTAAAAAATATAAGACTATATTGGAATGATAATTAGAAAATTGGGACGGTGATTGTCTCCAGTAGGTAAGGAGAGGAGCATGCTCAGCAGAGGAGCAGGATGGTAGGTACATGATGAACTTGTTTCTTCATGTGGTACATATACAATACATCATGTGAGTTGTTTTAATGTATGAAATACTATAAAGATAAATTTAATGTTTTATTAGCATGCTCTTTAACAAAGATTCAAAAAATTATAATTAAAATTTTATTATTTGACATCTTTTCTGAAAACAAGCTTACATTTTATATGGTTAGGATCCAAGAAACAATTTCTAAATGTCCTCAAAACATACAGTGCATAAAACTACAATACCAAGAGCATGTTAGAGCTAGTTACAGAGTGCAGCTTTAAGGAAGAGAATTAATGAAACAGTATATTGAATGTATTCAAATTTTTAATGCCTTGAATTTACTTTACTTCGTATTGTCTATATTATAGTTTTCATGGAAATTTAGATACTAACTTCTTGTTGGTATTATCACATATTTATTTTTCTAATTTAATTATTTTTGGTAAATTTTTCTTCTTTGCACAGACTCACCCATAGCAAAAAGTAGAAGAAAGACTGTTTTCTTTTTTTAGACCAAAAGATATGAGAAAGGATTTAGGGATGTTTTAGAGTAAAGTATAGCTTTGCCTAAGCCTGTCCTTTTCATTTGTTAGAGATAATTTTTATTTAGCTCAACCATGCTACAACAGAGAACTCCTCAGCTCTGACTCTGTCATTTGTATATTAAAAGATTATATAATTTACATAGTCATAATATGTATGTACACTCATTTCAAGTTCCCAGATTTCATAAAATCTCTGACTTGGAATTATCTGTGTCACCCTTCCTCAGTATTTGCATAATAATAGTTAGCTAAGAGCTTGTGTCAGGATGTTTAACAACCACTACAGTCATTTATTTGAGCCTCTGTTATGTGCACAATTCTGTGTTGCATGCTACCAGTACAAATAGAAATGTACTCCCTACACTCAGTGAACTTATGTTCTATTTACTTGGTTTAAACTTTTTCATAGTTTGCTTTATTTCCTTCATACACTAATTGCTGATTTCTTATTTCTGAGATCTTTTTGTCTCCCTTGCCCAGTTTTGGAATCAAAATGCAAAGACTGCTTCACCTATTTTACTGTGTCCTTTACGTAATCACAGAGTTGCTTAGTTTCTCAGTATATTCAGCTGATCTTCTAAAGCTTTTCTAACTTCAGAGTTATGGAAAAACACTCTTTTATTGTGTCATATTTGCAGGTGTTAGTAATAGAACAGAAAAATGAAGATGGAACGTGGCCCAGGGGTCCTTCTACTCCTAAGTAAGTGCTCCCACTTCTCTGGCTTATTACATGATTTAGAAGCCTTTCTTTTCAGATAATGAAATCCAGAATGATAGAAGAACCTAACTGTATATTGTAAAAATTCATACCTTACTTATATTTTAGTATTTTGTTCTTAGGATGAAGTTATCTAAAATTTGCACTTCAATTAATACATTACTATTTAAAAAGCTTTCAATTTAAGTATCTTAAAAGAAGGTACAGTATATGTTATAAAGGACAGTTTTGCATGGTCTAATACAGTCATGTTATTAAACTTTGTTTAATTTTTTGAAGCTTTTTTGATGATTTTTTTAAAGTATCTATTAAGAAAATATTAAACTTCTTTATCAAAATGAATCTGATGTTAAAATAGTTTTTATTTAAAAAATGTTTTAGAATTTTAAAAAGTGGAAAATAGAAGAGTATATGAATTCTTTTGAGGATAAATGAGAGAATTAGGAATCTTTTTGACTGTTCTAGAATGATTATGTCTACACTTCATTATCAAAAACACTTAAGGCCAGTTATGTTTCAATACATAGAGTTTTCAAACGTTGAAGAAGTAATATGGTGCATGCCCTGCCTATTATTATAACATTTCTATAGGGTCCCAGGGGATTACTCAGAAATCAAACATATTAACCTTCCTTCAGCAAATATTCACACTACGTGGAATAAATAGGGACTATAAATAGTCTCATATCAGGGTCATGTTGCTGCCAAATAATTGTGAAAAAACTTTTAAATTTTCAGAGCTTTGGAATTTCAGATTTTCTTTTTTTTTTTTTTTTAAGGTTTCTCATATTTGTTTGAGCATGGAACCCTTTTTTTTTCTATTTTTTTCTGAGACAGAGCCTCAAGCTGTCCCCCTGGGTAGAGTGCTATGGCATCGCTGCTCACAGCAACCTCCAACTCCTGGGCTCAAGCGAGTCTCCTGCCTCAGCCTCCCGAGCAGCTGAGACCACAGGCGCCCACCACAACGCCCGGCTATTTTTTTGGTTGCAGCCATCATTGTTGTTTGGCGGGCCTGGGCTGGATTCAAACCCTCCACCTTAGGTGTATGTGGCTGGCGTCTTAGCCACTTGAGCCACAGACGCCGAGCCAATTTCAGATTTTCTTACATGGGATTGTAAAGTTGCACTTTGAAATTCCTAAAATAATGATTTTTAATTAAATTAGTGATAATTTAATAAATGTCATCCTAACAAATAAAAAAATACCTGCTACTTTATTTTCTTGAACATTAAAAACGCATCTTCTGGGTCCCCAACTGTCTGACATCATCATGTGCTTCAGAGCAAGGGCCTGAGCCTAGATAGGCGTTTGCTCTGCTGTACTGTTTTGGTGGGGACTGACCCCCAAATTAGATGTACTTCCTCAAGGAGATGGTACACTCCCAGCAGCACCTGTAAGCCAAGCAAGGTGAAACTTGGACAGGTGAACCCTAAAGGACACTGGCCACGGTGTTACTTGGGAGGGAGATAATGTACCATAACAGTCAGTCTTAAAACTTTCGTAGTGACCTGTGTAAGTAGTTATCCTTTTTATCTTGTGAAGTTTTTTTGTTTAAATTTGTCATGAGAAAACGCCTAAGCATATTAATTTCATGGAGGTGAGTTTTTATTCTTACCCTACTTAGTTAGATGTAATATATGGGTAGAACTTAGTATAAAAGTGTAACTAGCTTATAATAAAAGTTTTATATTTTAAAAAACGTGGACTGAATCAGGTTTATTTCATAATTAATGAAGATTTGGAGGTTAAGAACATGTTCTTTGTGAATACTCACTGTCAGTCTTTAAAGTAGAACTACCTTTTTTCTCATTTATGTTTAGATTGTTACATACTTTCTATATCTTTAAATAATTTTTGATATTACTAAATTGCTTTGGAGTCATAGAAAAGTTGTCAGAGTTCCAAATATTGAGAAATGTTTTCTTTTGGTGGGGGGGGAAGGGACAGAGTCTCACTTTGTTGCCCTTGGTAGTATACTGTGGGATCATAGTTCACAGCAACCTCAAACTCTTGGGCTCAAGTGATCCCCTTGCCTCAGCCTCCCAATTAGCTGAGACTATAGGCACCAGCCAGCACACCTGGCTATTTTATAGATGGGGTCTCAGCCTGGCTTAAGCTGATCTCATGAGCTCAGGCATTCCACCTCCCTCAGCCTCCCAGAGAGTTGGGATTACAGGCATGAGCCACTGTGCCCAGCCATGAGAAATGTTTTCTACTTAAAATTATTGACTTTAACCGGAAAGATAAGACTAATTTATATTTTTATCTTCCCTTTCTGCTAGTACAACATCATTTTTATTTAATCAAACAACTATAGTACTTTGTATAAAAGAAAACACAATTTCTTACATAATACCTAACACACCATACACATTCAGTAAAGACTGGTGACAGAGGGTGCTGTGCTAGAGACATACAGAAATCTAGTACGAATCTAGTTTTCACTGGCCTGCAGTTTCATAGGGATGCCAAATATTAAGGCATAGGAACATTAAGTATCCATTCACGATGTCATATAGCAGTATGTCATAAACTATCAACTTATACTTACCAAAATAAAAATGTTTTTGATAATATTTGTACCTGTATATAAAAAGATTCTCAGAAAACTAAGAATAAAAGGGAATTCTCCTAATTTGATGAAGCCTGTATAACCAAAGTCTCTAGCAAAAGTCATAATCATTGAGAAATTTTGAGCACAATCCAGGGAAGTCTAAAAGATAAGAAAGGAGATAAAATTCACTGTATGATTTAATCACTTACATAAATCCAGAACAATCAGCAAACTGCTAGAACTGAGAAAACCCAATAAGATTTTCTTATGCAAGATTAATTTATAAAAACTGCTGGATTTTTTCTGCGCCAGGGATCAGCAATCTTTTTTATAAAGAACCAGATAAATATTTTCAGCTTTGTGGACCATATGGTCTTTGTCAAAACCTTCTCTGCTAGGGTAGCATGAACGTAACCTTTGACATTGTGTCAACAAATAAGCATGGCTGTGTTCTGATAAAATTTTATAAGCAGGTGGCAAGCTTGGATCTGGCCTGTGAGCCATACATTTCCAGCTTTTGTTGAATACCATGAGGAACTGCTTAGAAAGTAATGTAACAGAAACTAACCCAGTTAAGAATGAATAAAACCTTCACAGGAAGAATTCTAAATTCATTACCTTAGAAGACAAAGACTGTCATGTACTAAATTACTTAACCTAGTAATTCCTATTTTCACTAAATCTATCATGTAAGTACCTCCTATTCCAAATTCTTTTCTGACTACTTAAGAAACTTGACCAACTCATTCTTATGTTAGTGTAGATAGATGCAGGTCCAGGATTGGCTAAATCAGTTTTGACAAGAGTAAAGAAGGAGACTAGACTTACTAGATACTGAGAATTACTACATAGATACATTTTATTAATGATAAAAACAGCATGATGAGACCAAAAGGAAGGCAGATAGGCCGGAATAAACTAAGTTCAGACAGACTCATGTACTTAAGAACTCAGTATATTTGGGTTATAGCGTTCACAAGAAAGCTATAAATTGGTTTATAAATTGGTAAGACTGAGTACATTGGATACTTTTTCTTCCATTCTTGAGATAACTTTGCTAAGAAGAATATATTCCAGTTCCATCTATGTAAAAATGTAAGAGGTAAAGTCTCCCTCTTTCTTTAAGGCTGCATAATATTCCATGGTGTACATATACCACAATTTATTGATCCATTCATGGGTCGATGGGCACTTGGGCATCTTCCATGACTTAGCAATTATGAATTGGGCTGCACTAAACATTCTGGTACATATATCTTTGTTATAATGTGATTTTTGGTCTTCTGGATATATACCTAGTAGAGGAATTGTAGGATCAAATGGCAGAAAGGGGAGTGAGAGGGGAGGGGATGGGGGAAGATGTGTGGAGGGAGAGTAATTGGTGGGACCACACCTACAGTGCATCTTACAAAGGTACACGCGGAATTTACTGGGTGTAGAATATAAAGGTCATAACACAATAACTAAGAAAATGCCATGAAGGCTATGTTAACCAGTTTGATGAAAGCATTTCAAATTGTATGTAAAAGCAGCACATTGTACCACATGATTGCATTAATGTACACAGCTATGATTTAAATAAAAATAAATAAATAAAACTCTATATGTGGCACAGTTAGACAATGAAGTTGCTTAAAACCTACAAGGGATGAATAATGCCTATAAGACATTAACTGCCATAAATTAACTAAAAGGAAAAATAGCTTTTAAAAAATAGACCAAAGATATGAAAAGAAAGTTAAATAAGGAGACACCCACTTGCTGGCAGGTACATGAGAAGATAAACATTGGTAAACACGAAAAATGGAAATAATGCATAAGATACAAGCTTTTACCCATGAGAATGAAAAATAATTTAGAAGGTTGCTGATGCAAAGTTTGGGTTAGAATGTGGAAGCACTGATGATGGGAGTGTAAAATAATACTTCCATTCCATAAACCAATCAGTATTTAATTAAATCAAGACTTGACCTCCCCCCTCTGACCAGGCACTTTGACACAAGTCTTTGAGGATGTATCTCTCTGTAGCTGTGTTGCTTATAGTAAGGAGTAGGAAACAGCCTGGTCAAATATCCATCACTGGCACAGAGAATAAAAAAAAATTGAGACGGTAGTAACAATGGTGAGATCTTAAAAACTAGATGAAACTTTAAAGCATACAGTTGATAAGCAGAATGACAGTTATAATTCAATATCATTTATGAACATAGAAAAAGTACTTACAGTAGAGAAGATAGAGATTAGAGGAGGGAAAAAGGAAAGTTTGAGGAAGTGTCACTTGTTTTTGGTTATATTTGGTATAGTTGAAGCAAGGATACAGATTCTTTTGTTCTGGATGAATGCCACCTTTTAAATTAAAAAAGTTGGACTGTCTGTGTATTCATTTATAGCACATTAAAAGAACATAATGTAACTTAGGCAAATTCAA